AGTCCTTCCGCGACTGCTACCTGCGCATCGCGATGCGGCTGCAGAAGGGCCTGCCCCCGCGTCCCAACTGCACCGGTGAGGAGATGGCCTTTCACAACATCTTGGAGCGTGTGCCGGACGTGGACGAGGAGTGCGAGGATACCCTGGAGTCACTGCCTGAGTACCCGAATGACGACGACTTCGACATGGTTCGGGATTGCGCCATCCAGGACGAGGACGTGCTGATGCTCTTCGACGACGACGACGACGGCTATGGCTTCGACGAGGACGAGCCGAGCGTTGATAACCCTGTGCTCGGGCCGCAGTCCATGGCCGCCTTCATGCTCGGTAGCGGGGGCGACATGATGAACACGGCCCACCTACACCCAAGCGAGTGGTTCCACGCATTCAAGGAGGAGCACTTTTCGTTTTCCGCGACCACACCGTTGTGCGCTGATCACTCCTAAAAAACGATTACCCCCTACCTCGAAGATATACTATGGACACGCACACAACTCGTCGTGGGTGTGCTCTGTGGTTTGGTGTGGTGCGCGGCTGTGTGCACTGTGAGGCGTGCCCTCCTACACGGACAAAGGTCAGGGCGCAGCCGCAGGCGGACTCGATCCTACATTCCGTAACGGCAGCACAACCACAAGTGAGAGGTGTGCGTGTGGCCCACGGCCGCCTCGTCTCAACACTCAAGCCTCCACTGCCGTTGGACTCCTGAAGGCCATCGGAGGTCCAATCTCCCCCCCCCCCCCGTCGTCGGCGCTATTAATCACGGCGAGAGACGAGAGGGGCGAAAAGAGGGAGCGCTCGACAGCCTAGTCGGTCGCCTTGCGCGTGCGCCGCCTGGCCGTGCTGGTGCTAGCCGCAGGCTTCTCTTCCTCTGCAGCCTCGGCCGCCTCTTCCGCCGCTTCGTCGCCCTCGCCCGCCTCCTCGCCGTCCTCCTCGCCGTCCTCCTCCTCGCCCTCGCCCTCCTCTTCCTCGCCCTCCACACCGCCGCCACCCGCCTCGGCTGCGCGCGCCGGCGCACGGCAGCAGCAGAGCAGGACGATGCTCGCCAGCACGGCGCACACCGCCACCCCGACGGGCAGCGCGTTCTCGCGCGCGTACTCGGCCGCGAGGCTGAGGTAGAAGGACGCGGCGCCCAGCCACCCATCGCCGCGCTCGAGCCGAGCAGCAGCCGCCTTAAAAAAAAGAAAGCCACGCGTCGGGTGCGGTGACCTTCTCGACGCTAGTGGTGTCACGTCGCTAGTCAGTGGGGCGACCTTCTCGACGCTAGTGGTGTCACGTCGCTAGTCAGTGGGGCGACCTTCTCGACGCTAGTGGTGTCACGTCGCTAGTCAGTGGGGCGACCCTCTCGACGCTAGTGGTGTCACGTCGCTAGTCAGTGGGGCGACCCTCTCCACACGCTAGTGTGGGGCGAGGGCGCGGGGTCCCTCGCATCTCCACACTGCAAGACAGGAGCCCCCCACGGCGTGCGAGGAAGTGCGGGGGAGTCTGGCGCACGGGGGCGGGCGGCCGCCTTCCGCGCGGAGAAGGTTCGCTCCGCCGCCTCCTCGGCCACCCTCGGATCAGTGGCGACCAGGATGTTGTCGAAGAGGATCCCGTCCTGCGGGAGGGCTCCGAGAGGGCTCCGAGAAAGTTCCGAGAGGGCTCTGAGAAGGTTCCGAGAGGGCTCCGAGAAGGTTCCGAGAGGGCTCCGAGAGGGCTCCGAGAGGGCTCCGAGAGGGCTCCGAGAGGGCTCCGAGCGGGCTCCGGCCGAGGTCTCTTCGGGCCCTGACCTGCATCGTCCACAGCTCGATCCCCACGCCGCCGATCGGCATGACGTCGTGTGGCGCCGCGTCGTAGTAATAGGCGGGGTTGTCAATCTGGCGCGGCGCCCACTTGCCGACGTAGGCGGGGTTGTCGATCTTGGCCTGCACCCACTTGCCCTTGTACGCCGGGTTTGCGACCTGCGGCCGCTTCCACTCGCCGCAGCCCGACGGCTTGCACTTCGGGTTGGGCACCAGCGGCGCCTCCCACTCCCCGTCCTCGTCGGAGTCCCAGTCGGCGGGCGCCTCCGCCGTCGGGTCTGGGATCTGAAGCGGCTCGTCGGGCTCCCACGTGTCCGGCCTGCAGGCGCGCCGCGGGAGGGCGAGCGCTGCGCAGGCGACGGCGTCGCGCGGCAGCGGAGTCCGCGGGAGGGCGTCTTGGCGGTGCCCACCGAGGTTCAAGTAGCCATGCGGAGAGGGGGTGGGGCGAGCGGGGGTGGGGCGAGCGGGGGTGGGGCGAGCGGGGGTGTGGCGGAGGCAAGTTTGTGGCGGCCACCTCTCCGCCGCCGGGTCCTCGATCAGGCGCGGCGCCTCCTCGTCCCAGTCGTCCGGCTTGACCGAGGCGGGGTCGGGCATCTGGGGCTCGTCGACCTGAGAGAGTACAGCCACACTGGGTTCGGTACTCTGGAGGTATGGTACTCTGCACCTCCCTCGTCGACCCAGTCGGCGGGCTTGGAGTCGTCGGGGTCGTCGACCTTCTTCGGCGGGTTGATTGGGGCGGAGAACGCCGCCTCGTCGAGCAGCGAGGCCGACCGGACCTACCGCACCACCCACCCAACTGAACCCACACTGGGTTCGGTACTCTGGGGGTAGGGAACTCGAGCCCACACCTCCTTGCCGTCGACGAGGATCTTGACCTCGCTCTCGGGCGTGATGACCGCCGTGTACAGGTGCGGCTTCTTGTCGGAGAGAGGCGGCGCCGCCGTCTCGCCGACGAGGTGGCACTCCTTGATCGCACCGTCCACGGGGCTCTTGTGCCGCAGGATGAAGTGCGTCTTGTGCACGGCTCCGCACTTGTCCGGCCCAAACATGAGCGTGTACGCGGTGTCTCCGTTGAGGGCCGCGGGCGGCACCGCCTCGTCGGCCGAGAGGAGCTTGAGGTAGGCGCCTTGCGCCCGGCGCACGGGGAAGGTGTCAGTGTGCGTGCGTACGTGCATTAAGTGCTGTATGTAGTGTGAGTGTCGTGCGTGCATTGAGTGCTGTATGTGTTGTGAGTGTTGTGCGTGCGTGCGTGCGTGCGTGCGTGCGTGAGAACCTGCGGGTGGGAGGGCACTGCCTCTTGGAAGGGAGTGCGGTGTGCAGGCAGTGAGTGGCGCTAGGCGGAGTGAGCGGCGCTAGGCGGGCAGTGAGCCGGGAGGTGGCGCTAGGCGAGCAGAGCCGCACCTCCGCACTGGAGAGGCTGCTTGAGGAGGAGCTCGAACTGGACGACCAGCCCCACGCCCTTGGTGCGGAGCGGCTCCGCAAAGACCGTGCTGATGCCGTGCTTGCGCGCCGCCGAGGAGAGCTCGAGGCCCTGGTCGGCCGGCAGTGCGTCCGGCAACTCGGCTTTCCCGCGGAAGACGCCGTAGCTCTGGAGCTGCAGCTCGCCCTGGTAGTTTTCGTCCTCCGTGCGGACCTGTGCAGGGAAGGAGCTGGCTGGGAGAGCAGCCGAGGCAGCAGGCCGTGACGGAAGCACACACGCACCCAGCGCTCTGTGTTGATGAAGGGCTCGAAGAAGAAGGCGCCGTCGATTGAAGTCGGTACCTCATAAGGCTTTTCCTCGTCCGCGGAGGCGAGCGCCGAGAGGGCCACGAGCAGTAGGCACCGTGTAGTCATCGCGACCGGAGCGGGCCAGCGCGCCTCGACACAGAGGCGCCACGGCAGCGTATGGGCCGCTTTGCTGATTTTTCTCTTTTCTCGAGGTTCTCGAGGTGGATATCCTTTGGCCGCGTTGGGTAGCGAGGATTGGTGTGACGCGATCCACGCAGGCGTGTTTTCTGGCGGCCGACCGTCAGTGCACGGAGTTGCCCCTTCTCCGACTGCCCCGGCTAGTTCACGGGTTTCGCGGGAGTGACCCCAGGTGGCAGATGACGAGGCCGACAGACAGATGCAGTCGAGAGCTGGGGGAAAAAACTGTTCAGTTTTCAAAGGCAAAAGCGCCGGCGCACGCCCTCCCCTCACACTGACACTTCTCCCCTATTCCCAACGTCTCCCAGTGAGCTAGGATCTCCGCCTTTTCTCCCGATTAAAGAAATCGCGCCGCGAAAAAGAAATACCTGGATTTGTGTGTATAAGGCGGGGACCGCGGGGGGATGCTAGTGGGTTGGGCAGCCTGGGATTCTTTTTTATTTAGTGCCACTGGGCCCCGCGATTTCTTTTTCTCAGTCGCTGAGACAGCATTTCCCCGGCCGCGGGATGGCAGGCTCGTCGGTGCATCGGTGAGCCCCCTCGCCCCTCGTGCCCAGCAACGGCCTCCTCCCGCACCACATAAGGCCTCCTGCTGACTCACTGAGCTCTCGCTGGACCAACTGCAGGCACGGCCGGCTGCTGTGTCGCGGCGCGCCGCTGTCGTTTCTCGATGGCGAGTGGGTGCGCCAGGACTCCGACGTCAAGTCGTCCCCTCGCTTCGCGCACAGCGACGACCCCAAGCTCCACCTCACCTCCGACGGCGCCGCCTGGCGGGTCACGCGCGGGGCGGGGTCGGGTGAGGTGATCGCCGAGGCGGCCTCGACCGCGCTCCACCCAGGGACGGTGGAGGTCGGGTCGTGGAAGGTCTTCGACCGCGGCAAGGAGCTGCCAAAGTCCGCCGAGCTCGAGATGCTCTGCGACGGCCCAAACACCGAGGAGCAGCCCTTCCTGATGGAGGAGCTCGGCCGCGACTTCTTCCTGCGGGTGCACCTCACGCGCAAGGTGGTCTGGTTCGTCTGCCCCGCCACGGGCGACATCTACCACTCGGCCGCCAAGCCCGGCGGCGAGGGCGGCCGCTCCAAGCCCGGCAAGCGCTACTGCCACCTCTGCAACAAGGCAGTAGCACCTCTCCACTCCCCGCCACCACCTCTCCACTCCCCGCCCGCCGCGCCCCTCCCCCGCAGCCCGACCGGGCGGCCCTGCCTCGCGCGGCGCAGTGCTTCTCTGCCAACAACTTCCAGTCGCAGCACCTCGTCAACCTCCACCCCGAGCTGGTCGCCAAGAAGCCGCCAAAGGAGAAGAAGGAGAAGAAGCTCGCCGGGCTCGAGAAGAACATGCCCTCGCCCGCCGACCCAGAGAGGGTCAAGACGCTGATCCACGCGCTGCTCTGCCCGTCCGACGGCCCGTCCGATAGGCCCGACTACACCGCCGAGGTCGCCGCTCTCCAGGCGCGAGGTGGAGGATAGCCGGGATAGCCGAGAGAGAGCCGAGAGAGAGCCCCCCGCGCGCAGCGCAGCAGCAGCAGCAGCAGCACCGCCAGCCGCGGATTACAACCAGGCGGTCGGCGTCGCGGTGGACGCGCTGCTCGAGCGGGCGCCGAACCCGCGCCGCTGCGAGAGAGGCGAGGTCTTCAAGGGCCCGGTGACCGTGCTCGTAGATGTGAAGGACGAGAGCGGCGCAGTGATCGGTCAAGTCGAGCGACCCATGACGCTGTCGGACGCGAAGAAGGCGAAGGGCGGCTTCCACGCCAGGGTCCAAGCCATCAACGCGTGGCTCGCCGCGGCGCAGCCCGATGTACCGCTCATCCCCGAGTACTGCGCCTGCTGGGCCGCGCCCGACGCCTACCTGCGGACCGACAAGGACGGCAAGCGGAAAGACGAGTGCATGGCGGACTTCCCCTCGGAGAAGCGGTGGAGCGGCGAGTGGTGGCGCTTCTGGCGGGAGCACATCGAGCCGGCGATCGCCGGCAAGGTTCCGGGACCCCCGCGCAAGTCGGTGTACCAGAAACTGTCCGATCTGCGGGAGGGTCCGGCGAGCGGCCACAGGGCCAAGCGGCAGAAGCTGGGCCCGGCCGCGTCGGCAGGTGTTTCAGCCCTGCTCGCCTGTAGATGAGCTGTCGCCCGCTAACGTCTGACCTGGCGCGCAGGCGCGGCCGGCAGCCATTCGGCAAGCGCGGCCGAGCTCGTGGGCGCCGTGGTCCCGGTGCACGGGCCCGGTGAGGCGGAGGGTTTGCGCTTGAACCCGCCGGCGCCGGCGCAAGCGGCGGTGGAGGCGGCGCGGGCTGAGCGGGCCGAGCCGCCACCCGCCGGCGCACAGCCCAAGCGGCACCGCGAGGACGCGGAGGCGGCGGCGGCGGCGGAGGCGGAGGCGGAGGCGGAGGCGGAGGCGGAGGCGGCGGCGGAGGCGGCGGAGGAGGCGGAGGAGGCGGAGGGCTTGCGGCTGCACCTCTCCAGCATCAGCGCCAGCGGGTACAAGGGCGTGTTCAAAAGTGGCTCGCGCTTCCAGGCGCAGCACAGGGTGGACGGAAGGCAGGTCGACCTCGGCACCTTCGGCACGGCGGTGGAGGCGGCGGTGGCGTATGCGCGGGCGGTCGGGGAATACCAGCCTCCGGCTCCTCCTCCGATTGTGGCTGCAGAAGGGGAGGTGGTTGCAGAGGCGGAGGGCTTGAGATTGCACCTCTCCAGCAACAGTGCCACCGGGTACAAGGGCGTGCAGCAGCGCCCCTCCGGCCGCTTCCGGGCGCAGCACACGGTGGGAAGGGAGACTGTCTGCTACGGCTTCTTCGGCACGGCGGTGGAGGCGGCGGTGGCGTATGCGCGGGCGGTCGGGGAATACCAGCCTCCTCCGGCGGTGGCTGCAGAAGCGGAGGGCCTGAGATTGCACCTCTCCAGCAGCAGTGCCACCGGGTACAAGGCCGTATCCATTTGGCGCGGTGTGTATGGCTCGCGCTTCCGGGCGCAGCACACGGTGGGAAGGGAGACTATCTGCTACGGCTACTTCGGCACGGCGGTGGAGGCGGCGGTGGCGTACGCGCGGGCGGTCGGCGAGGCGCCGGGCCAGGCCGAGGTGGCGGCAGCAGCGGCGGCGAGGGCAGCGGAGGCGCAGGCTGTGGAGGCGGCTTGCGGCGCAGCGCGAGCCGGGTGCCCTGTCCAGGACACGTCCACGACACGTCCTGGCCATGCCCCGTAGGCAGCCAAGGCGGTGCGCGTCGCCAAGGCCGAGCAGCTGCGGCAGCTGCAGCAGCTGCGGGAGCAAAAGCGACGGCTGCAGGAGCAGAAGCCGCTGCTGGAGGAGCAGCGGAGGCGGGCCGCAATCGAGGAAGGGAGGCCCAGAAGCGGAATACATCTTCTCGTATCCCAACCAGCGCTCGAGAGGACACGTACTCAGCCGTATTCGGCCGTCTTCCGCTGCTTTCGCTGTGCTCGTAGCCCCTCGTATTCACGCGGTGCTACGAATGCACTGCACGAGACCGTACTCCCGCCTCGAGGCTGCGTGTTCGCCACGTAGGACCAGAGGCGACTCTTCGAGGAGGTGGAGACACACGCACACGCACACACACACACACACGCACGCGCACGCGCACGCGCACGCGCACGCGCACGCGCACGCACACGCACACGCACACGCACACACACGCATCGCTCACCCACGCGCACTGGGCATGCCACGAGGCTCCCGTCTTCTAGACGTGGAGTCGCGAGGGCCGCCCCCCCTTGCCCCACCACCCTTGTGTGTCGAGAAGTTTACCTTACCTCACCTTACCTAGGCGGCCAGCCGCCAGCGCCAACGCCAGGCGGGCGGGGGCGGTGGGAGCGGCGGAGGGGGAGGGAGCGGCGACGGTAGCGGCGGTGGGAGCGGTTGCGGCGGCGGCGGCGGCTGCGGTGGGTCCAGCAGCGGCGACGCAGGGTCGAGCGGCGGCATCGTCGACGTCGATTGCGCGGTGGACGCTCTCGTGGCGGCGGTGCTCGCTGGAGCCCCCCGCGCTGTGCAGGACCCCTGGGGCTGCCTTGGGCTGCAGCGGTTGACGGGCCGCGAGGCGAGCCGGAAGCGGTACTTGCAGCTGGTGCGGCGGCTCCACCCAGATCGGTGCGGCCACCCGCGCGCCGGAGAGTGCTTCGCGCTCGTCGAGGAGGCGTGGCGAGCCATCGAGGCGCGGGGGGAGGGCGGAAGGAGCGCCGGATAGCTTCGGCGACGTGCACGTGCCGTTTACCCGAAAATTCGATTGATTGGCATGAATTCCTGGACAGGGGGGTTATTTTTGCTCAGCTTCTGTCCTACTGGCCCGATGTGCTACAAGATAGATTCTGCGAGCGCAGGGTTCGTGATTTCACATGGAAACAGCGAATCGATTTCACTTTCACTTTCACTTCACATTTCATGTGAAACGAAATTTCACTTTTCCGAGCGGCGCACTCTTCGACTTGGGCTATTATCTGGCCTCGGGAGGGCGGCGGCGGCGGTGTAGGGGCGGCGGCGAGCTCCCGGTGGCAAATACTCGCCTCACAGTCCAAGATGGCGGCTCGCGCCCCCGGCCGTGCTCTGGTGTGCCTCTCTAGTCCCGCCTGCCACCCAGATACCGAGGGCGGGGCGCACTCTTCGACTTGGGCTATTATCTGGCCTCGGGAGGGCGGCGGCGGCGATGTAGGGGCGGCGGCGAGCTCCCGGTGGCAAATACTCGCCTCACAGTCCAAGATGGCGGCTCGCGCCCCCGGCCGTGCTCTGGCGTGCCTCTCTAGTCCCGCCTGCCACCCAGATACCGAGGGCGGGGCGCACTCTTCGACTTGGGCTATTATCTGGCCTCGGGAGGGCGGCGGGGGCGGCGGTGTAGGGGCGGCGGCGAGCTCCCGGTGGCAAATACTCGCCTCACAGTCCAAGATGGCGGCTCGCGTCCCCGGCCGTGCTCTGGCGTGCCTCTCTAGTCCCGTATGCCACCCAGATACCGAGGGCGGGGCGCACTCTTCGACTTGGGCTATTATCTGGCCTCGGGAGGGCGGCGGCGGCGGTGTAGGGGCGGCGGCGAGCTCCCGGTGGCAAATACTCGCCTCACAGTCCAAGATGGCGGCTCGCGTCCCCGGCCGTGCTCTGGCGTGCCTCTCTAGTCCCGCCTGCCACCCAGATACCGAGGGCGGCGCGCACTCTTCGACTTGGGCTATTATCTGGCCTCAGGAGGGCGGCGGCGGCGGTGTAGGGGCGGCGGCGAGCTCCCGGTGGCAAATACTCGCCTCACAGTCCAAGATGGCGGCTCGCGTCCCCGGCCGTGCTCTGGTGTGTCGCTTGGGTCGCCTCTGATGCTGTGTCTGTCTCGTCTTAGCCAGATATCGAGAGCGTGCGACGACAACCAACGTACCCTAACCCTAACCCTTACCCTAACCCCTAACCCTAACCCTAACCCTAACCCTAGCCCGAAGAACCCAAAGCATTCACCGAGAGCTCGGGTCGACGGACCGCTGATTTCTCCATTTGGTTTCGGCCCAAACCGGACCATTTGCTGTTAAAAGCTGCACACAACGGCTTGGACTCTCTGACCCTAACCCTAACCCTACCCCTAACCCTAACGACACGGATCACGGTGCTCCTTAGAGGTCGTCGTGCGCGTCGCTGCCGACGCATCTCGCGTGTTGGTGTATTTCGGCGGGGGCGCGCATTAAAAGAACATTGAGGCTACACCCACGTCCTCGAGCGCCTGAGCCCCGAGCAGGACACACCTCCACGAACCAAGCTGCTCTCGCACCTCCTCTCACTAGTTACTCGGTTGGGCTCTCTCCTTTCTATACTTCGTCGCTTTCACCGCGTTTGGATGCAAACTTGTGAAATTTTCAGTGAAACGGGGGCGGCCGAAACGTTTCATGTGAAATTCACATGAATTCAAAAGGTGAAAAAAAAGGGTGAAATTTCACTCACGAACCCTGTGCGAGCGAGATTGATGCCGACGTGACTCACCCGTGGACACGGTCTCGACGCGCTCGGTACGACGCCTGCGACCCGTCTCCGGTCAAGTGGCTCGACGCTCATCGCGCCTACCAGCGCTGCCGTGCAGGTTGCCACGACAAGGTCGAGCACGCTTCTATACGCTCGCCGAGCCTTCCTTTCCAATCTCGCCGCCCCGCACAAACTCGAACGTCGAGTAGATCTCAGCGAGCCCCGCCTCGGCGATCGCAATGGCGCGCTGCGCAGAGTAGGACTGCGCCTCGACGAGGCGCGTGAGCATCTCCGGGTACTCGCGCACTCCTGTCGCCACGTCTTCCGCGGGGGCGCCGGCGGGGTCGCGAGCGTCGAGCGCTTGCCCTCGGGGCCGGTAGGGAACTGCACGCCCTGCGCACGGTTGCGGAGGGAAGGAGGCGTTACAGGGTGCTGGGTGCGTGACAACATTGGCGCGCGCGAGCGCCTCCGTAATCTTCGGCATATAAGTCAGCGATCGCTCGGTGTCGGCGTCGGTCACAGCAGAATCTTTTTTACCGCGGAATCTTTTTTAGCGTAGGCGGGTTCTTTCGCCGAAAGAACACAGGGTTGCACGAATTGTTATGCTGAGTATTTCTTTGTGTGAGTTTGACGAGAGTAACGTGCGTCCAACCCGAGCAGTTCTGAATGGAGGTCGCAGCGTTGCCTCCGTGTGCCATCGGCGCCGTCGGCAAGCGCAAAGGTCGCTGCTTCGGCACGGCATCGCCGCGTCGTCTCTACGCACGCCAGGCTGGCCCCTCATGGGCCGCAGGGGCGCCGGTTTGCGGCGCCTATTGCTGCAAGGCAGCAGCGGGTCTCGAGGTCTACAACACCGACAAAGAGGCTGCACGCAAACGCCAGAAGCGCACGCCGGTCGCCGACCAGGCCGTTCCATTTTTCAGCGGTGCGCTGAACGGCCTGGTCGGCGGTATGTGTACGGCCTTGCCAACCGCGTGTGCCGTGCCAATGCCAGCTGCTCCTCAAGTTGACGTTGTTGGGCAGCTATCCAGGCTGGCGAGCCTCCACGCACAGGGTGCTCTCACCGATGCCGAGTTCACGGCGGCCAAAGCGAAGGTGCTCTTTAACGGTACCAACATGCCGGTCGCCGTCGCAGCAGCACCAGCAGCCGCGCCCGCAGGCGCGCCCGCACCGATCGCCACCACCCAGAGGGCCACCGCCGCCGCACCACCAAGTCCACTGACCGCCGCCGCGCCGGCCGACGCTGCAGTTCTCGCCTCCGCAGAAAGGGCAGTAGCAGCGGCAGCAGCTGCTAGTCCGCCACCACCACTGCTCGCCGCCATCGCTACACATATGCCGCCCCCGCCACCGCGCACCACCACCGCTATGCCCGACGCGAGCGTTCAACGCGAGGCGGCGGGGGAGGAGGGAGAGGACGACGAGGTGGAAGTGGAAATGGAGCAGGAGGAGGCGGAGGCGTCGGTGGCGGAGGCGATGAGCGAGGACGAGGTGGAGGAGGTGGCGAGGCCGCTACAAAGCCCCGCCGCCGCCACTCCTTCGCTCGCAGGCGGCGACGTGCAGATCTCCGCAGCATCAGGCCCTACGTTTTTAGCTGATGTCACTGTGAGATGAGATGACCCTCACTCCCTGGCTCTGCACTGCAATGCAGGCATGTTGCCCGAGCACTTGCCGCACCAGCGGGCGCTCTGCCCGCTCCACCCCTTCCATGCGGCCGAGAGGCCAGTCGCGGCGCCGGTCGATGGTAACGAGGCGGCTTGCCCCAACTGCTATTGCCTCATCTGCGACGCGCGCGTGTCCGAGTGCGGTCACTGGCGGGGCGGCGACGCGCCAGCGCACTGCAATGCACATAGCAGCAGCGCACTGTGGCACCAGAAGCGCGTCAATGCGAAGCGGCAGCGCACGCGGGCGGCGCGGGCAGCGCAGGCGTCGGACCCGCAGCCAGCGATGCCTTCTCGATCTGGTCTGAGGAGCGGGCTTGGGTGAGGTGCTTCGCACGGTGAGGTGCTTCGGGTGCCGCATCGACGTGGCGTGGCGCTTGTTGCCGTTGTTCGACGTTGTAAGGTAGCGATGTGCAGGGCCAGGGGGGGTACCGAGCAGTTGTGCGGCCCGCGCTCCCGTCGCCAAAGGCAAAACTCACGATCCCTAAAATACAGTAATACACATATCTCCCCGCCGCGCTCGTCCATAGCATACTGGTCGGCCACAACGCCCAGACTACTTATCCATTCATATGCCATTCTCCTCACTCGAAGGGCTCATGCGCGAGCTATCCGGCGGCTCCTTCGCGCTTCACCGCGCCCGACGGGCCCGCGACAGCCGCCTCGGCCTCGGGCTCAATGGCGCGCAGCGCCGTCTCAAGCGTTACCTCGGCTGCGTCCTCTGCGTGCTCGGCCTGCTGCACGGCCAGCCGCGCCGCGTCGACGGCCTGACGTGACCTCTCGATCGCCGCGGTGAAGCCGGCATATGCGGATTCGAGCGCCCTCAGCGGCGCGTCCTCCGAATTCGCCGCTTCGCGCGCTGTCGCCTTGCGCTTGCTCAGCACCACGTCGTCAATCTTATCATCGGCCCAGTCGTTCACGGATGGTTGGAGGAGCGCCTTGTACCGTGCGTCGACGACGGACGCACGGAGCGACCTGGCCTTGGCCACCCGCAGGTCGAGCGCCGAGCGTGCGCGCTTGCGCGAGTCCGCGCTGTCGACGTCGATGGCGCGCTTGCGGCCCTCCGCGTCGCGCTGCTTGCGTGTTCGCTCCTCCACAACCACCACGTCCGGCTCCACGCCGCCTGGCTTGACGATCGCGTAATGCCGCAGCTGCGGAGCCGCCATCCACGTCTCGTCGTCCAGGTTGGCCGCCAGCCATTCGATGCAATCGGTCTGCGCCGGCTCATCGTCGCTGCAGCGCAGCTCCAAGTAGGCGTCGTCGTTTCCGAGGTTGGTGTGCTTGCCGACCAGCCATGACTTTTGTCCATTTCCATCGTCATGAAACCACATGGCCATCGCCTCGCCCGTCGACGACAAGAGTTGCCCGTCCTTCATGAAGGCCGGCTTACCGTTGACCAAGTGGCCCTGCCGTCGGTACAAGCCGCAAGCATTTCTCGCACCGGGATGCGCGTCCGCAGGCAGCTCGCCGGTGATCAGGAGCGACAAGTTCATCGAGCCGTCGCGTGCAAGAGATGCCGCATACCCCCCCGGGCCCGCACAGGAGCCTTCGCCAACTAAAAAACACACAGATGCCGACTCAGTGTGGGGAGGGTCGGCGAGCACTCACTCACTAGGCGGCGCCGCAGGGCCGGGGCACTGGCCACGGCCTCGCCGACCACTAGAAGGCGGCCCACCCACTACGCACACCAACTTAGTGCGCGGGGTGGCGGGAGGCACTCACCCACTAGCCTGCTCGCCCGCGGTTACTCGATCGTGTTCGACGATGTCGAACATTGTTCGACATCGTCGAACACAAGTGGAGAATGGCCGTAGATCCTCTCCACGAGCGATTGAGAAGACGTACCAAGTATCGATTCTGTATAGAATTGCAAGGCGCACACGCTGGTGCAGGCGGCGAGTCGTCGATCCGACTCGTTCCGACGTGAAGTCGCCGTGAAGGTTTGCAAACAGGGCCATTTTTGCCACATTTTGCCCTCTCGCGCGATCTTCTCGCGTCGGCAAGCGCGCGGGCCAGGATGGGCGAGCCGGTCCCGCCACGCTGGACGGGCCAGCGGCTGGCACGCGCCGGCCACCCCGGCGGCGCGGCGGCCTCATCGCGCTCGTCGTCTGCGAGGCCACCGCTCGGCGTCGCCGCGTCCGACGGCGATGGCGCTTGGCTGTGAGGTGGGATGGCGGCATGGTGCGCGCGGACGTGGGGGTGGTGCGGGATGCGCGTGTCAGCAAGCATAGTTTCACCTCTACCCACCCCGCAGGCGCGCCGACGTGCTGCCCGAGCGCGTTTGGAGGCAGCAGCTGCTCCTCGCGAGGCGCCTTCGGAGGGGTGCCACACCCCTTTCCCAGCCGCGCGCGAGTTGAGCTCCGATTTGCGCTCTTTTTCGCACACGCCCGACGCTAGTAGGTGAGGACCGACCATCCTCCGCTAGCAGGGCTTCGTCGGGCGCGTCTTCGTCGAGCGGTGGTGCATCTCCCATGCTCCCACCCGCGCCCTCCTGGCAGCCCGCCCGCGGCCCACACCGACGCCCTCACGTGCTCACCCTAGTCGTAGGTGCGGTCTTTTTGCGTGCCCCCCGTCGATACGGGGCGCTGGGCGATGGCTGGGCTTGTCGCCGGGCGAGCTAGCCCCTCAGCCGGCCGCGGAGCGGAGGTGCGAAATCGAGGCGGCGCGGCCCCTGCGCGCAGCCTGTCCGGCCGGCGCGCGCATGGTTCCGTAGCCCGTCTAGTGCCTCACTGACCGACTCCAGCGCCACGGTGTACGTGGCCGGTGTGGTACTGGGGCTGGGCAGCCTTGGGGCCGGCGGAGACCGCCGTCTAGCGGTCGCACTAGTCTCTTTTCGTTGTTCGACCTGTTTGTTCGACGGTTGTTCGACCATACTTTGAGCCTTAATTATTAATTCATGTTTGGGTCCCTGAGGTCGATACTAGCGTCTGTAACTTGCCACAAGCGTGCTTTACAAAAGTCCAGCGGAGCGGGACTCGCAGAACGGCCGTCCGCGCGCGCTGTGAACAGTGCCATGGTCGAACGTTGTTCGACGACGTCGAACACGTAGCGAAAGAGAGACCGCCCGCGGCCCACTCACTACGCGCACTAACTTAGTGCGCGGGGTGGCGGGAGGCACTCACTTCCGCGCACTAAGAGTTAGTGCGCGTAGTAGCCGAGCCCGCCTCCGTCCGCCGGCGAAGGGCACTACGAGCGGCCCGCCGGACCACTCCCCTCGCGGCCGGCCGGAGGCACTCACTTCCGCGCACTAAGTTAGTGCGCATAGTGTCCCGGCCTCCGACCACGACTCCCGGGAGCACACTTCACCACTTGACCCGCCTCGGCGCACCACTAGCCCTCGTCCAGCTCACAGACTAACTTGCGTCGACTTAGTTCCCGCAGGGCCCGGGACCACTCACTCACTACAGCATCTGTGCTCTTCACACGACCTGGCGAAGGCTCCTGGCCCGCAGCAGCCTTTGCGGGGATCAGAAACCCTGATTTTTCTTACTCTCAAGAGTTTTGACCACCAGTGCATGGCATACGAGATGGAATGATGGCGGTCAGAGGCAAAGCCTACGAAGGGTGGTGGAACCACATGTCACGGCTACTGCCGGCTCGACCCCACGATAGCTTCCGAAGGCTGACTTTGCGGCACCATCATCGGACTATGTCGACGAGTTGGGTCGCTCTCGCGGTAGCCAGATGGCCTCTCATACTAGTAGTATCGGCCATGGCCGCAGGGAGCGCGGGGGAGGGCGCTGGAAGCAACACGGAGCTCCGTTGACCGTTGGAGACGTAATACAAGATTAGCGTGCCAGAAAGCACAGAGTGAAATGGCACTAGCCAGAGGGCAAAGATTATGTTTTTGTGGATTAGTAATATAAACTAAAATCTCTTGAGATCTGCTTTTGTATTTCTCTCTCAGCTAATTATGAACCTGCGCTGGCGCGAGACAGAGCGGCCTCGCTCGTGCGGCGGACTCACGGTATACGCGCAGCCGATGCGTGTAGACGCGCGCGCAGCGCACGCGGACGCGCGGAACGTCTGTGGCAGACGTATGCGCCCGCGGTCGCTCAGACGCCCGGACACCGGTTCGTCTTGCCCTTTGGCCGCTGGTAGATCCGCGCGGGCGGGTCGACGTATGCATGGACGCGGAAGTGCTCTGGCTCCGCGTAGCCCGCGCCGGCGTGCACCAAGTCGCCGCGCCACACGACCATCTCCCCGACACCGATCGGCAGCAGGAAGGCGCCCTCCTCGCCGCAGCCGTCCTCGCCGCCAACCGCATCGCCGCCAACCGCAATCGCCGCCCAACCGGCATTGTCTGCCCCGCCGGAATCCGCCGCTCCGGCTGTATTAAGCGGCCCGTCGGGATTCGTCGAACGCAATTTCGGGGGCCGCAACTACCCGGGCCGGGGGAAGAATCCTAGACCCCCCGGTGTTGGGCCCCTCAACCC